ATAATATGTCAACAGGCTCTTCACCGACGCTTTCGACTCCAACGGCAAAAAGAAAGAGAGGTAGACCCCCCGGGCCACGTCTTTGACAAATCAGATCACCACTAGATTGAACATCAATATAAACACGTCTCCACTCACTTCTAGTCCCACTGCAGAGTACAGTTCTTATTTAATAGTTAAGCAGTGTGCCCCAGACTGTTTCACACCTTTAATGAGAGTGTCACCAAATTCTAGAAGAAAGAAAAGAAAGTCTTCTAGCTCTAGCCTTTCAGATTTGCTGACGCCTTCCAAGAGATCTAAAAATCCTAATATTTTGGTAACACCAATGTCTTCTGCTGTTATGGGGACCGGTTTTACACCTCATCAGATTAATTCAAGAACTTCGGATAACCTTTCTTTGATCACTCAGTCCGATAGTGGAATCTATCAAACTCCTCCATCATCAACTGTCAAAGAGAGCGGTCCTAATTATGCCTCATGCGCACTCTGTCGTGGGCATCGAAGGCAGGTACTACGACGCGAAAAGACTTGAGTTTAATCAAGATAATTTAGTTGATGTCGCTTATATGTCACCACAACACGAAAAAGATAAACGGTACTGGAATTGGCGCAATAGTGGATATTCCAATAAGAATCTGATCAAATAAGTGTGAAGCTTAGAACTATGAAGAGAAAGCATTCATACCCTTAGACCAACGTTAGAAAAAATTGGGGATGATTATTAAAAGAAAAGAATCAAAAAAGAAACAGCTAGAACAATAACAACACCAATACCAATAACAAAGAAAAAGAAGAAGAAAAAAAGTAAAGGAAAACCTCTGAAGATACGTCAAACTACAGAACAGCTACGTGTCTTCAAAGAAACTTCCCAGAGCACATGTCGCTTACAAAATGGTTTGAATTTGACATCAAAAAAGATAGAAAATGTAGATGGCGACCGCAGGACCCCAAAAAATTGTTCCCACTTAAACAAATAATTGAAGAAGAGCTTGAAAACCCGAGTAGCTGCAAACTGAACGGGTACCTAAGATAAAGAATATTACTCTAGGGGCTTTTCACTAAATTCAAATACAAAATGAACTTGTCAGCCGAAATATTACCAAGGACAAAGTGCGTTACTTTAAGAACTCTCGTAAAAGTCCAATGAAAGCATGCGCTGATTATAAAATTAGTAGACAAGATCAAGGTCTTTCTTAAATCGGCTTGACCTAGCATACCAACAATGTACTAAGAACTTATCCACTAGAATGAATATATTCTCATATGCTTATAAAAAGCAAGAACATCACTTGCAGAAAGTCTATATTTCAAATATTTTAAACTACCAACGGACTATATTTTAATGTAAACCATTTTCAAATAAATTCTGCGTCCCTCGACATAATTTTATATAAGCATTTTTTTGATACATGGCATACTTCTTGTATTTCTTATGCTGTATATTTGAATCCTTTTTGATCTCTATTAGCCAAAGGCGGATAATGAATCTTTGCATCTAGAAGTTCGCTATCATTAGTGTGCTGGATCAAGAATCTCTTGAAGTAATTATATTGTAGTTTAACTAACTAGTCGTGTGTTATGAAAAGTCTCCGTTGTGCATGTACATTTCATTACAATTTCGAGTGCATTGATTTGTTTGAAGTCTAAAAGTTTTATTATAGATTAAAATTAGTGTCAAGTTTTTTCTGTAATCCAAGAATGAAAATTAGAATGACTGCTAGATTAAATGAGTTCACTAAGAATGAGTTGCAAGGTATAAAGTGTAAGATATGCCCTGAGGTAGAACCTCAAACTGTAGCAGAAAATAAACTTATATAGTACGAAACTATAAGAAGTTTAATTAGAGAGGTTGTAGCGTTTTATTTTCACTTTTTCCACTATTCTTAACAAGAGAGGGTCATTATTTATTTTATGAAAGATTATAAACCTCATTTGAACAATAAATTTATCTTAACTGCTTGTAGCAAATGTATTGAAACTTTAAGCGAAGGAAGCTTCCATTTGAATCTTGGCATAGAAGTCGTGGTCAACCGTATAAGAGCGGTGCAATACGTAGGAAAACGATTTGACACCAATATCCACCGTAAAATAGCATCCCTACTAACAAATTAATATATAGGGCATTTTTCATTCATTTTAAACTCCAAAGATGACTTTGTTAGACATGAAACCCTTACGTTGAAGAGCATATCTGATTGCGGTTCCAGCTTTTGAATTGTCTATATTATCGTGATCATATATCTGATACTGAGCTAGTTCACAGCATGCATATGTGTAATAAAATGTTAGCTTGACAATGTTGCTTAGTCATATATAATATTCGCTTGAAGTATTTATCACCGTCTTTGATGTCTACATAGTAGCTTGAAAGCTTGATGTATCCTTTCAGGAACTTTTCCTCATTAAAATGCTCTCCCGTGTTTTTTATAATAGTCGATGTGATATTAAAATACCGAACAGAGAGCATTATCCCAAACACTGATAAAAAAAAATTATGCCCATGAGGGGATCGAATACATTTAAAGGCACTTCTTCATCTAGCACAGTAAACATAATCTTACTGCGCGAGCTAGAATTAGAATCGACACACCCCCTTGGGTGCCGCATTTTCCAAGATAGGTAAGGATCTATCTCTTTAAATCGAAATACTCTTAGACCTTATCTAAAGGACTACAGAGATCGAAAATTTAATTAAGTAGAGATAAGATCAATAAGTGTGAACATAGTTATAAAAAGAACGAGCTATGTAGCGAACAAGAACCTCCTCATATGAAATGAAAAATATGAAGAACGAAAACAAAATAACTTTTGAAAGCTCACCTCGACAACTGGAGGACTCCACTGAAGCAAAACGTGCGAATTTGGAAGGTGATATTTGTTACAATAGAAAGCTTCTTAAAAAGTTAAATTTATATATAATACCCAGAGTTACCATTTTGTACTTGCTTTCCTTTATAGATCGAGGCAATATCGGAAATGCTAACATTGAGTGAATGACAGAGGATATCCACCTTACAGGTAATAACTTTAATATTGCCCTGACAGTCTTTTTACTTTACATACTCGCCTTTCCACTAGACATTAAGAAATTATTTCCATTACCATAACTTAAAGAAGAATGTTGAAAAGTGTTTGAATAGCCAAGCGCATCTTTCTATAACAGTGGAGAAATTTGCCAAATCATGGGATATACCATCTCCATCAAATCAGCATGAACAACTTTTAAATCATACTCAAGTAGACGCTTGGTAAAAATGCCTAAAAGCCATTACTCAGTACGTTAACCAGATGAAAGAGTTTATTAATTGGCTTTTTACAAGATTAATCCACTTGGGAACCAAATAAACAAAAATCAAGAACGGCAAAAAGCCAGAAATAAATAAAACCACATATATCATTAAAGTTTGAATTTCTGCACACACATCATAAAAAAAGTAGTTTGTTGTCCGATCATATAATCCTATCCTCCCTTCGGAATTAATAGCGCTATAGTCTTAAGTATTAAAAAAGATCTCCTCTTGGCGATAAGTTATCAGAGAACTGAGACCTCCAGAAATTCATCATATTTTCTTCCGTAAAGAAATCAAAAGCTCCATCTTTCTCAACAGGAGAAGTTTCCTTTAAGTTGTCCTCACGTTCCAAATTTGGAGCAGTTTGAAAAGATATGCAATCAAATGAGAAATTTTCACTCATCATCTTAAATGCTATCTCAAGGTCGCAACAGAGAGTTGAAATAAAATCCATGTCTAGGTCAAGTAAAAACAGGCGTTCTTCCACTGACAGTAAGAGATATAATTGATCCAAGCTTGTTGAGCTCTTGAATATTTCGAGAGATTGTGCTATAAAATTAGCATAATTATACCTCTTGCCCAAGTGAGAGATGATTGCTGATGACAAATGAATAAACTGGTCAAGTATATTCTTGGCTCGTTTTAAAGTCGATACGGTGTACGTAAAATGAGGATCCTCGGCATTCTTAGATCTTGCACCAGAGTCAATTAAGGCAAAATTAACCCTATTATTGATTGCGAGCAATATTAAAATGGACTTATGAAGCAGAATCTCTAAAGGTGGACCAACAACAAGATCACTGCAATCGCCGAGAATATTATGCATATTCCCTAAAAACTCACAAACACACCCTAGAATATCACTGATTACCTTCAAAAGCTTCCTGAGCAAATGACGGCCTTGAGACGCATCTCTTTTTCTCTCATAGAAAATATAAAGGTGGAATAGTAAACTCAATACAAAAGTACTATCATAAAGATAAGCCTTTAGCGCCAAAGGTCTTGAAAATGGCTTACTCAGAAAGTTAACGTCAAATACCTGCTTCCTAACCTTGGAATAATCCCATTTATTTTCCCTCGGAGTCAATAGAGTCATCAAATCATTTACGTTACAGCCACCTACTTTTTGTATCGATTCTAGGATCTCAACCGAAAATTTAAAAAAAGTGTAACAACTTAAAGGTGCCCCAGTACTTCCAGTACTTCCACCTCCAACGATCGAAAGGTCCGGGACCTTGGTATCAAATCCAAACCTATTAAAATTTAATGGGGCACCAGTGACCATAGACCTCCTTGAATCGATCAAAAGCAAGTAAAACCAAAGCCATCTCCTTAATTCAGCTTCACTATTATCCATGGTTGACCCAGGAATGCTGTTTGGATCACGTTCAAATCCCAATGAATAGGCCATTTCAAAGAGAAACGAAACAAGAACCAGAGATCTCCCTTTATCTATAGAGTCGCCTCTTTCTGGGGCTACCTGTAGATAATATAGATGCATGAGTGCTAGTTGATACATTTCAATTGAATATTCATTTCTTTCTTTCAAATAATTCAAAAAGTCCTCTGAGATTTGAACCAAATCAGAAGATATTGGCTGCCCAATCAAGAAAGCCACATTATTGTTGTTCTGGCGACTGTTGTTGATTTCTCCTGTGCAAGTGAACAAAGATAAGTACCCAAGTCTCAACGCAAGCAATAGAGATCCTAGGTTTGCAAAGTCTTTATTATCACTGATTTTAATACTAACACTCTCCACACCGCCTGCGTCTTTAAAGTCTAATAATCCTGATAACTTGTTTCTAAAGTCTTTTTCATTAAAAAAATTGCATAAGCAGTGAATATGACTAAAGAATCTATCAACTAGCAAATTGATCACTTTCATATTGGGTAGCGGTAAGTCAGTAATGTTACCCAAGAATTGGGCATGGTAATTACCCAACTCTCCTACTCCTAGTGAATTGTAATCAGTTGGAGTTACGGAAAATATTCTTGAACTGTCTAAGGACCTTGACTTATTTGCTCTAACTTGCGTTTCTAACTCTGTTCCTAACCTGTCAAAAGTTTCACGAATCAGTTTTATACACTTCAAATGAAGCTGGCTCAAAGACATATCAATTTTAATAAGAGAAAACCATGACAAAGGACCTTTGGTGGTGATTTGTAAATCCTCTAGTTCAGTTGAGAAGAACCTGTCATGAAAATTAACCTTGTCAATCCTTTTCAGAAACTTATGATCTACCTCAAAGTGGGAAGTATCTGTCAACTCTTCCAGAACCGCAGTTCTCACATCCTTCGCAAGCCACTTTTTGAGTTCTTTCACCCTTTCGTCTAATGTTGATACTTCGTCTTCAATTCTTGTACGTCTGTCATCATCAACAGCTTTTATGGGCAATTTGCTTATGTCTCCTATGTTTGCAGGCTGTGTATACCTACATTCAAGGCACCCGTATCTAATACAACTAGAGCATGGAGTTCTCAAATCGCACTTAATCTTTCTCTTCTTACAAAACGTGCAAGCCCTACTTGGCCTTTGTTTTCGCCCGTCGACCATTCTCAGGAATCAGGAGATAAATACGTCGTCTTTCCCTGTACTGCTGATTACGTATTTTGATTCAGTACCAGAGAAAAGAGGTACTCATATGTGACATTAGGAGGCAATCTATTTTTTGTTGACTCATGTCAAATTAGTAAGATAATACGCGCCTTCCTTTTTGATACGAAATCCATTTAATGTATCTCCGGCGGGCATACTTTTCGATTACGAACCCTTTCGGCACACATTGCTACATGAATCCAAATACTGAAATCTAAATCTACATTGGCACAAAAAGCTTTTTGAGCCTTATGAGCTCAAGCCCGACGGACTTTCTCTTTCGCTATAGGCTTGTACTCTAACAACGCTGTAATCTTTTGCACTGCTGGCCTGAAAATATTCAGTATTTAAGAAAAGGGTCTCTCGCGAAGATGTTCACCTTATTTGAATATCTTAGGACAACAAAGTAGAAACACAAGATGACTAAACATAAAGCGGTAACAATTGGGGATAAGCTAGGTTTTGGAACCATGAGTATGACATGGGTGGACCATGTTCCACCAATTGAGCAGTCGTTAGAAACTTTGGAGTATGTGACCAGTCCAACGGGCCCAAATGTTAAGTTCATCAATGGTGGTATATTCTATGGTGGTGACGATATAAACTTGAAACTTCTAAAGAAATTCATTGACCAGAAACCTCCAGAATTTACTAGAACGCTAACTTTTTTAATCAAAGGAGGCGTTGATCTCTCAAAATTTGCAATTCTGGGCTCCAAAGAGTCCATTAGTAAGGATATCGACAAAATTGTTTCTTATTTTCCCAAGACAGAAGGTCGTCCCAAAATTTTGTTTGAAATCGGAAGAGTTGATCGTAATGTTCCTTATGAAAAATCAGTAGAATACATCTCCGACTATGTGAAGAAAGGAATAATTGACGGTGTGTCTCTTTCGGAAGTGGGGTCAACATCAATGGTCAAGGCAGCTAAAGTATTTCCAATCTCTTTTGTTGAGTTGGAGCTATCCATCATGACACAGGATATATTGAACAATGGTATATTAAAGACTGCAACTGACTTAGGCATTCCAGTGGTAGCCTATTCTCCACTATCCAAAGGATTTCTAAGTGACTTTGCGGTAGAAAATGAGGATGCTTTCCATAAAGTTTTGATGGCAGACCCCTTGAGATCAACTTTTGACCGCAACAGTGAAGAAAATTTTCCTAAGAATATGAAATTGGTGAAAGCATTATATCTATTTGCTCATGATGTAAAACATACTAGTCTTCAGTCTTTGGCTATTTCATGGATTTTAGCGATTTCTGAGAGGAAAAGTTATAGGAATATTACTAATGTTACTAAAATCATTCCAATACCATCTGGGTCTACCAGATTGAGAGCCGATCTGACATTCAATAATATTGTGGAACTTTCCAGTGAAGATTTGATAGATATTGACCACATTGTCGAGACCAATCAAGTTGCAGGAGGAAGATATAACGAAAAATTGAGACAACATTGTGATCAAGAACAATGAAAGAGGTGTGTTCTCTAAATGAGACTGCTCACCGATTAGCTCATAATATGTCTCAAGTAATTTAAAGAATGCTGTATCGCAGTATTGTCTTTTTTTCTTGTTTTTTTCTTTATATAAGGTTTTTTTGATTATATCTTTATTGAAAAAATCCTCCCATGAAGACAACTTATATAGAAGCTGGTGTGTTTTAAATAAGAAGAATCCAATTTTAGAATCGTTTAGAACCCTACGAGCCCAGTATCAATTCTCTAAAAGGTTTATAACCACTGATATTTGGGATGCAAAAACACAGAAATTTTCATCAATAAGAATAGTTATTTTCAATTTTCCTTAAGAACATCATCATCAAAAGATCGCTCGTAAGACTGAGATTTCTCAATTGGCCATTCCTAATTTAAGGAACTTGCAACCTATTACCATCTTGCTAAGTAGTGCTTGAAAGAATCTGACACTACACGGTTTCTTTATTTTCTTGTTAAGATATAAGAAGTATACTTTAAGTATATAAAGAAGAGTTGTCTTTATTCAAGAGGGATATTCAATATTGAGTTTCCTAAATACATTTCAGAGAAATTGAACTTTTAAAAAGAAAGAAATATGAGCCTAATATTTCTATCTTCACAAGCTATTGGTATTTCGGTTGACGAGTACCCAAAATCGTCGAAACAAGGTAATGTTTGCACTCAGGTTGTCATTGGGAAGATCAATACCGATCTAATTACTAGCAGCGTTTGCTAGACCTTTTGATTTATGAGAACTTGCTCATTCTCGAAAGACCGTAAAACTAACAGTGTGATCCTACAAGTCATAAAAATATCTGAATTCATCGGTTATTACTGTCCTTCCTCGCTACAAAAAAATATACTAAAAAAATTTTGCTGATAAATTATCCGGATCACTTCATTCGCCACGTCCTTGTAAGACGAAGGTGATTCAATCCCTCCTCTACGTCCTTTTAATTCATTCTCTACCCTTGCTGAGAAAATATCTTTTTGCCTTACTGATCTGAAGTTAACATTGCAAGGGTATTCATTGCTTCTCACAAGGAGTTCTTTATATGAAAGACCTATTAAGATCCTAATGTAGTAATTATTGAGATAAGGCTATAGAAGATGTTAAAGAGGTCGGAAGAAAGAGAGGTGTTGGTTTTTATGAAACAGTTAGCAAAGTCAAATTTTCAACAAAACATCCCCCATCTACCCATAAATTTAAGGCCCCCAAAAAGAAGTCCGAATAATAGAAATAAGAAAAGCCAAAAAAAAAGTTTTAAGGGAATTGTGTAGGGCTTGTAGCGAGATGTATAGAAGCTCCCTAGACACCAGCGGTGACACCTTCCTTATCCCCTCTTTAGATATTCTTCCTTAAGACTCCATGAATGTAATGCTGATCAAGGGCTATAAGCTAACCCGGTTTTAAGAGCTGATGTCATGATATTATATATTATATTATTATGTGGATTCTGCATAATCTTTGACATCATCTTCACACCAAAAGTATTAGATGTTACACCATCCTTGACACCTTAATTCAGTCACGTTAGTTTTCGCGTGATAAGTGCATTTGCCATCTTTTTGAGCTTAAGCACTGTGTCACTTGATTCTTTTCAGCTGAGCGTTATATGATACAGGTCACTTCCTTCACCTAAGACTAGGATATTTGCTGTCCCTTTAAAAAAAAAATTCCAATTTCATACTTTTGATTTTTTGCCTTGTTAATTTTGCTTCTTCTGCTCTCTCCCATCTCTCTCAAACCATATAAGAACCGTCTTTCATGTCCAGAATTATATCCTCAAGAAGTATACTTTGGCTCAAAGTTAGGTACATTACCTTCAAATCATTTCCAGTAAGATTCTAAAATCACATCTGTTATGATTAACCTAACGTACTCACAAATGAAGTTTATTACCGTGAAAAACCTATTCAGGATCTTCATGATTAATTATTGAAAAATGACTAGATAAGACATAATCGGGGGCAACGAGGTAGGAAAGATGCTAATTCGGAGTCAAATCTTCATCAAGTGCTCCATAATTCCCTTTAAAAAATAGGATTCCCAAAAAAGGATTAACTAACAAAAAGAGGAAAACTCAAAAGAATTCTGAGAAATATTCAAGGAGGTGTCCAGAGTATTGTCAAAAGAAGAGAAGTATCAATGACGGTAGCTAGGAGACTTCTTAGACACCTCTCTAGATGTTCAGAATATCGTGACTATACGACCACACGAAGGTAGTCAAGATAATATTAACTTATCTGGAGAGAATGTAGATTTAATATATCCTATGTGATACCATTCTTGACACCTCTCTCTATAAATATAGACTCAAGTTTTATGAAATATTCTACGAAAATTCTACACTCGTCAACGTTGAGATTACCAGTAGGATTTAGATATCTAGCTAAGGAAAGGTGCGGAGTTTCCAATTAAAAAGCTCACAAAAAAATAGAAAATAGAAAAAAATGAGCAGAAATATTTTTTGGCGAGTTTTTTTAATTAAAAGTTCACCACCCTTCCTTAATATTTCATTCATATATCCATGCTAGTTTCAATGTATTGGAAAGTAATAGAATTTCTGTTATCGTCTAAATCAATTTAAAGAAAACATGACGAATAGATCCCAAAAAATATCATTAATTCCCTTGGAATCTAAAGGATACAAGTTTATTTAGAGAACCTGAATAATTAATTCATAGCTTTTAATTTTTATTCAAATGAGTACATAAAAATCATATATACTCAAGAGATAAGGATTTCTCGTTATTGAGAAATGAACCAAGAAATAAAACAGTTATCATATTATTATTAATCAACGTGTTGAACTTTGGACTTCGAGTCCATATCTTCGGATTGAATATGTTCTATATCAATGACCCCGGAGTCACCATCAAATATTTTTGCAATCTCCTCTAAAGAGTAACCTTTAGTTTCAGGGTAGAACCAATAGGTATTGATGCATATGATAACCAATAGCACACAAAATACAATATAATACTTCCAACCAATGTCATTCAAAGCGATTGAATTACAAAATGATGCGATGATCAAAGAACCATAAACTCCCATCAATTCAGCTGTAACACCCTTAGATCTTAAATAATATGGAAATATTTCTGTGGGATAGGCTAAAAGCAACGGTGTATATGCAATGTCATAGTGGAAATAGAAGATAAAAATGAACCCAACAACAGCTCTTCCTGCGGCAGGATTTCCTCTCTCATCAAATATTGCAGAACATGCAGTCCAAATAACATATGAAACCAACATACCAATACCGGACCAAAGTAACAAAGTTCTTCTCCCCAACCTATCAACCAAAAGAGCTGCAGATGCTGCAGCTATTAAATTAAAAATCTGCAAGATACCATTAATCAAAGTTTGCATCGAAGATGAAGTAATTCCAATAGTATCTAACACCAAAGTCAAGTAGTAGGATACTACGGCAATACCATTCCATTGGGCAAAAACACCAAGACTTACAGCGATATAAGTTCTTCTTCTGTTGCCCGGAGTTGAGACTAAATCACTCCACTTTGATTTCTTTTGGCTTTTTTCTAAATCCAAAGCAATCACAATTTCAGATACTTCCACAGCAACAAGCTCAGAGCTTTCATCCCCACCAGCATGGTGTTTAATCAATATTTTTCTTGCTTCCTCTTTCCTGCCTCTAGAGATTAACCATCTGGGGCTTTCAGGAACAAAATATAGAAAAGTAAGTTGAATAGCTGGGAAACCAGCTTGCAAGATTGTAGGTATTCTCCAGGCCCAAGTATCACCCCTACCATTTGTACCATAACAACTCCACGACGCCAATATTGCACCTAAGTAATATAAGCACCAATATAAGGATGTCATTTTACCACGATAGCTAGGATAAGACAATTCTGCAACTAATAAAGGGGCAGGTTGAACTGCTAACATACCAGCAGCTCCAACAATAAATCTTGCAGTTATCAACTGACCTATTTCTTTTGAAGTGGCTTGGATGATAGTAGCAACTATGATTCCTATTAAACCAGCACCAAGAGTCTTTTTTCTTCCAAAAGTATCCGTTAACCATCCACAGAGTGGTAATATGATGACACAACCACAATTTTGTGAAGCATTGACAAATCCTAACATTGTTCCCTTTGGATTATTAAAGTAGTCTTTCCATTCCTGTAAGGACTGCAAACCATTCATCAACGAGCCATCGTAACCTGCGGTAGACGATGAAAGAAGAGGAATCAAAAGCAACAGGTTTAGTATGAAGAGATGCTTGACTCTAAACCAGGGTCGATCATATTTCGGTAAAACTTGAGCAATCGTAGGGCCTACGATTTCACTTACAGGCGTAAAATTAAGCTTCATCTGAAAGTTGTTTTATTTTAAAAGAAACTCAAAAATTAAGAATACTCTTTACTTAATATTCTGGAATCTCCAAGCTTATATATGCATTAGATGTGGATCAGAGCTATTAAGTAACATTAACTAATACGGGGTATCAACAGTCAGCAAGATATTGAAATTAAGGATTTTCTGCAAATAAGCAAGAGTCAACCTACAAAACACAGTGAATATTTGTAAAATTTCTCTTTATCTCCCCATCGACTTAAAAATAATTGGAGTGTTTCGGAATTTTCGTGTCCGCTGCATTTTTAATATTCCCCAGGTTTTCTCCGCATTTGAATCTAGGTTGACTGAATCCCGAGATATTTGTTATTGAGAAGCTTTAATCAATCAAAACTGCATACTACAAGAAAAGCATTTTTATTATCCCGAAGAGTATACATTAGAGCGAGATACTTTACATCATGTTAACGATCTTTATCTTAAGCTAAATGTTTGTTTTGGAATAGATACAAACTATAAGCTATATATCTTTAAGGGCAACAGAATCCCCCATCAACTAAGAAGTCGCTTCCAGTGGCATAAGTAGATGCATCACTAGCTAAATATAAGTATATTCCCTTTAACTCGCGAGGGTCTGCGTCTCTCCCCAATGGAATCATATTGAACCAGGCCTCTTTCATATCAAATGGGCAGTCTCCAGATATAGCAGTGTCTATATAGCCTGGTGATACTGAATTTACCCTAGCAAAATCAGCCCATTCCACGGCCAAAGATTTGGCTAAGTGGATAACCCCAGCCTTAGCTGCATTGTAGCAGGCCTGTTGCTGGGGAATGTTGACAATGTGACCTGACATAGATGCGGTGAAAATTAAATTACCTTTTCTTTGCTTACGAAAGACCTCTCCCGAAGCCCTGGCGCAATAATAAGCTCCATTGAAATCGGTATCAACAACATCATGCCATTCGTCCAATGTTTGATCCAATCCACCAGCTTTTGCCGGGATACCAGCATTAATAATCATCACGTCTAGATGTCCAAAGTCTTTGATAGTTTGATCCACTCCAATTTTGACTTCTTCCCATGATTTAACATCAACCTTATAGGCTTCTGACTTGACCCCATACTTCTGCTTTAATTCTTCAGCCAATTTTAATGCAGCCGGATTGGAATGATACCAAAGAGAAAGATCAGCACCTGCTTCTGCGAGTCCTCTAGCGACTTCATGAGCAATTCCACCACTTGCACCAGTAATTATAACGGTTTTTCCTTTCATTGAAAACATTTCAAAGATGCTGTCAGAGAGCTGAGGATTTGATTTTCTGATTGAATTAGACATATTAGATAAAATGATAGGTAACTTGATAAAAAATTGTTAAATATTTTCTGAGCTCAACTGCACTATATATATATAATAATAACTCTTGGATGTTATGTTTTAGTAGTCAACTCAATAATAAATATTATAGTTGCAACCGCTCTTCTGTAAACCTCTCTGTGCCTATCGTGCATAGGATTGTATCATATTACATGAGTACATTGTTACTGTTTTTAGAAATACAGGTCAAAATAAGTACATGAACGGATATCAGTCCACCTAGTCTGACTCCAACTGAAGGTAATTAATGCCTCCGTTTAAAAATTCACGGCACATGAGCACCATAACTTGTATCCCACCTTTTGCAGAATGTTAGAAGTAAGATAAATTACTGCCCAAATGAACGCCTCTCTACAAAAGAATATATTGCGAAAAAGTGCCTTCAATTTATTAAGCGTCTATACAACCACTTGAATTTTTAAGTACAAAAATATGTTTTCAAAGTCAAATTTTAGAACCTTTTTCTTGAACTCCTTCGATTACAACCTTAATTACGTCAGAGCGTCCTTCCTTCACTAATTCAAAAGCGTTTTTTGCTTCTTCGAACTTGAACCTATTTGTGATCAATTGCTTAACATCTATCTTGCCACTTGCTACTAATTCTATAGCAGTAGGATATACCCCTGTGCTATATCTAATACTTCCTGTCCAATTAAGCTGCTTGACAAGAGCTTCAGTTACTGGGAAACTAATAAATTCTTTGCCCATTCCGGCTTGAACGAATCGACCTTCCGGGCAGGCGGAAAATACACCAACCTGAATACATGGCTCTGCGCCGGAAGCTTCTAAGATAACAGACGCACCATCCCCTAAGTTAAACTTCTTTTTTATGGCATTCGAAGTACTAATGGCAAACTGTTCGTCCGTTTCATATTCCTTCTTGCAAGGCATTTTGTAAACTTCATCTGCGGCAAATTTCTTTGCAAAGTCTAACCTACCATCAGAAATATCAACACCAATTACTTTTTTACACGCATATGCCTTAGCAACAGCTTGACATAATAATCCTATTGGTCCACAGCCAAATACTACCACCGAATCTACTGCCTGAAGCTTTGCACGCTTACAGATTTGAACAGCAACAGAGATTGGCTCCACCATAGCAGCTTCTTCCAAATTCATATGATCCGGAATTTTATAGCAGTAATCATAACTAACATTGTAATACTTAGCTAAAGTACCATCATAAGGGGGAGTCGCTGCAAAGACCATTTCCTCACAGTGATTGTACTTTCCATCTCTGCAATAATCGCAATATCTACATGGCACTCCGGGCTCTATCGCAACCCTGTCCCCGGCTTTCAAAGTTGATACATCTTTGCCAACTTTGACAACAATACCGCTTGATTCGTGCCCCAAAACCATATCTTGACCGTCTTGTAGAATGAACTTGCCAATTTTTCCTTTTTGCCAATAATGGACATCGCTACCACATATTCCAGTTTGCTTGATGTAGACTCTAACTTCTTTTGGACCTAGCTCCAAGAGAGGTCTGTTTTCAAATTTAACATTTTTAATAGATTTCAATACGAAAGCTGGATTTGCTACTTGGCTCATTTTGTTATTCTTTATTAAAATTAGTGAATGTAAAATGACACTGTAGAATATTTAACTTATATAGATGTTAATTAACTGTGATATTCTAAGTGCGGAGATCAATGCAGCATTTTCTATTCAAAATCTAAGGAGGTACGCAGAGCGCTATTCATGGACGAAGACAAATGAACAGCGGCCATCTCTCACCTTTTTTCTTTTTCTTTCTTTTTCTTTCGAAAAGGGGAACATGTGAATAGTACTATCAGTGATTCTTTCGACTTTGAAGTTCTACCGATGCCAGTTAGAACCTTAATTATCTAACGAATTCATGACAATTAGAAAGACATTAACGGGTAGCAATTCTGATTTTTCGAAGAACTTAAAATATAGTATAATGCACATCTATGGCATCCACGTAGTTTGAAAACCAGAGAAGTATTAGCTAAATCTCTCATTTAATAAAAGGATAGTCGGCAAAATATGCCAAAGAATAAAAGCGTGAGAATTAGTGGAGTCTATGCTATATAGTTGGGCGCGAATACAGGATGCCTGATGCTCAGCATACGGTGAACTGTCGCTACTCTCCTTAATGACTGGATGATTAAATGGATACTTCCTTTATATCTTTCCTGAGTCTCATGGACAATTAGCGCCGCTTATTGCAAGCAAGATTAAGTAATTTGAATAATTTGAAAATAAAGATGAAAAACAAGAAGGCAAGACACATTGGTACTGAAGTCTTTAGTAAAGCTCCTACATAGGGTAGGGACAAAATTCTTATTGATTGAAAATTCCACAGTATAGTATTCTCAACCCGAACTTAATAGTAACTCATTAAAAGAATATTCAGTTTTTTGGTCTGATATCAAAAGCTCAATTATGCATGAGATATTTACAGCTTGCATGACAATATAAAATTTCTTTTTTGCAATCTTTTACCAATTTGCGGAATTTTGTCACCCTAGCTCTTGCGAGTTTGCGAGTGCAATATCAGCTGGCCAGGATGTGAAACTTGCAACATATAAATAAAGGTAGCGGAATTTTCATGAAAGCAATAAATCTAGCTAATTTACTTTTAAACTAATAAGATATAAGGGAAATGCTTTACCAAAATCCAGATGTTCCAGTCTTGAAGCAGTTTTTTTTGGGCGGTAACGTTTCGTTGGTCACCGGTGGTTCAAGAGGAATAGGGCTTGCTGCCGCTATCGGATTGGCAGAAGCAGGCTCTGATATTGCTATTACATATAATACTTCAGGAAAAGAGATACTTTATAAGGTCGAGAAGATTTTCGTAGACTTGGGTGTCAAATTCAAAGCTTACCAATGTAACGTTAGTAACAAAAGGGAAATAAGCGAATGCGTTGAGCAAGTGCTCATAGATTTTGGAAGACTCGATATCGTGGTTCCAAACGCTGGTGTTGCAGTCCACGAACCAGCGGAAGATTTTTCCGAAGAGGAATACCGTAAGACAATGGCTGTAAATTTAGACGGTGCTTTTTTTACAGCACAAGCAGCTGCGAAAGTCTTCAAAGCTCAAAAGACAAATGGTAAATTAGAACAAGGTCGGATTATATTTACTGCCTCTGTTTCATCCTTAGTTGTCAATTATCCTCAAAAGCAAGCACCTTATAATGCTTCAAAAGCGGGTTTGGTGAGACTAGCTAAGTGCCTCGCTGTCGAGTGGATTGATTTTGCACGGGTGAATTGTGTCTCTCCAGGATACATTGCAACAGACATGTTAGATGCCCATCCAAAGGAATGGAGGGATACATGGTTTTCTATGATTCCGGCTCAGCGATTGTGTTCAACATATGAATTAAAAGGTGTTTACGTTTTTTTGGCGGGTGATGCTTCCTCATATATGACTGGTTCTGAGCTTGTTCTCGCAGGTGGCTACACTTTAACATAAACTGAATATATATAACCAATCATGAAAAAGAACAATTCAGTATATGTATTATATATATAATATTATGCCAACTTGAATTGTTGCTCAATATCAAATGATACGGGCCATAACATACTATGTAATTGCATCAACTGAGATAATGGACTTTCGTCAGTGCGAGATATTTCAAAGGAGCGAATATTCTCTCCATGGCCTTGACGCCTTAAATATTCTGAACCCAACAATTCTATCAAGTCCAAAATCTTGCTAGCAGCCGGACAAATGATAATTAAACTTTTTATTATGTTTTGGGCAGTGAAAATATCACTTCTCCAATTAGTCGCATTCATTGAAGATGGATCATTTCTAAGGCAAACCATCGGCATTAAAACAGCAGGAATTATAAAATACAAGGTGTACCATGCGTCCATTCTATTATGTTTTTTTTTTTCTGTCCAAAATCTGTTCATGCTATGAATAGTTACAGAACATTCCTGTAAGCAAATTTCTCCTGCCTTTAACTCAAATTCATCGCCGCTTGTTTCATTATAGCTTCTAGAGTTCAAAACGACCCTTTTCAATAGAAAAGTACGATACATTATAATTCTCAAGTTTCGATATCTCCACCATAGCACACAATGAGCTAATTTGAATTTCGTAGGTACATTTGCGTCTTCTTTGAAATATGAAGGTGTTAAATATCTCCACCTTTCAAGATATTTCTTGTCCCATTCCAATAGTAAATATGCAGTAGGAAACGGATCTGAGATAATTCTTTGGTAAATCCCATTCGTTAATAAATGAAAAAGTGACTGCAATCGAAGACTTGTATAAATTGTAGGCTCAAGTTCTTCATCAGGGATTTCCTTAGTAAGCGCAGTCAAGTTTGAGTCAATGATATTCATAGGTAGTCTTGTATCAAATCCAGCACAAGGTATGCCGAGGGGCCTTCCATATGTTATGGTTTGGCCGCAGTCGAATATATATAAGCACCACCATATTCTCCTCCTTATTTCTTGATCTAATAGTGATTCTTCTGAGTTTTCAATATTCTTATGCATACCTAATGCTAAAGCCATCCTTACAGCCAAACCCAAATAACTGTATCCAGAATTGGGCCTATCCCTTTTTTGTAAATAATTCGACATTAATATAATAGTTTTCACTAATGTTAAGTTCCCTGTTTCCATTATCTCTATAGATAATTTTGATTTTGCAATTTCAAAGAGTATCAAATCATCATCATCATCTGGCGATACAGCGCACATAAAAGATCCAATAGCAGCCACTATATTTAACAAGCTTTCCCATCCATTCCGAGGCGTTGGTATAACTTCGTTAAATTGAGCCATGAAAATGGGCCTGTGAAGAATTGGATATGAAACATGATATGTTTCAAAATATTGATTTACATAATATTCCAATTTTTGTCTTGCTATCTTTCTTGTTGTATTTGTATTGTTCAGTAGATGCGGTGAGCTGGATACGTTATTTTGGTTTATATTTTTATTCAATTTATCCTGAAGAAAAAAACCACCTCCAACCAAGTTTATTAACGCCGCACTAGATGGGGAGCCCAAGTAACCATTTGAATCAGTTGTGGCCATCCCATCGATTATTGACGATCTCCTCTTGTAATCAGATTTTTTTCTCTCGTCCCAATTATAACTAGACGTATTTGAAGAAGGGGATAAGTCCACGACCGCATCGTAACTCCCTCTATTCAGATATGCTGAATCAAAACTTGTTTTAGTACTAGGGCCCAGATTTAGAATTGAAGGTAGAAGTTGAGGCACTTGATAGTTTTCTCCTTGATCAGTAATACAATCAGCATCATTTTTTATTTCTCTCTGATCGTTTAGACCCCTATTCCCCATACTAATCTCAGACAAAGGAAAAGGACTATTTATACAACTTTCACAGTCTGAAGGCTTAGTCAATCTCGTTAAAAATGGTGTTTCATTAGAAGATGATCCCGACTTGTTCTCGCTAAGAGTCTTGTCAGATATTTGCTGCTGGCTATTTTCATTTATGTTGGATATCCCTTCAGGGGGGAGTTTTATCCTCTTATGAATTTTGTTAGTAAATTCTGGTATTTCGGTGATGTCAGAACCATTTCTGAGTTGCTGTAGCATTTGAGAAAGGTTTACTTCAGGCATATATTCTTTCAACAATTGTTTAGAGAGGTTTAATTCTTCTTCAACTTCAGTCAAATGTCTTCTGGTTAATGGAGTTTTACTGTGTTTCTCGTATAAACAGTGCCTCTTATATTTGGAACACAGTCTACAGACTGGAACCTCTCTGGTACATCTAGTTCTTCTTCTTCTACATTCGTTGCAGGAAAATTTGGAATCCCCACTTTCTTCATCGTTCATCAGGGGTGGCATGTTCCCTGGTGAGCGTCTCCCCATGCTGCTATTAGAAGTCTTCAATTTACAATCCCATAGACAAGATTATGCCCAAGAAAAGGCTTATATTACTTGCACTCTAAAAAAACAATGCTAGGATTTAATCCTGATAGTGAAAATTTAGTGTGGGGTTTTATGAAGATCGTCCCCCTTTCAAATTTGGGTCACAATAACGCTTTTTCCGAGATTGAAGCCAGCTCAAATTTTAATAATAGTTTCCTTTACAAAAGTTGATCGGATAAAATCTTAGCGGCGTGTCAAGAAATGCTTAGGTCACTGTTAATAAGAGTTCTTTTACCTGATGAATGAGTTCAAATTAACTATTTCCGGTCGTACTTTCAAAAAATTTGTTCTAGCAATGAGACGACAAAGAAAACACCGAAATGAATACAAAAGCTATCAGATTTCATATTTTGTAGGCATATCTGTAATATTTGCTATCTGCTATCTGCTATATATAATGGAAGTTTCTATATCCGATGCCCGATCAATGGATTATCCAAGTCTACTATACTAGCATTACCTAGTCATTTCATAAGCGTTCGCGATGGATCACTCTGTTCTACTTACCTGCTCTCTCAAGATTGATACATATCCTTCTTGAATACGCTGGTATCAGTAACACATTTCTGATGCCCTCATTTGGCCTTATTCCAAAACATAGCTCGAATACTTCGCCTATTGAAATTCCGATGTATAAGGAACTGTGACATTAAGAGACATTCCTTCAATAGAGTAAGACAATGCAGCCTACTAATTCCTATGTTTACCTCAATCGATATGAGAAATATATAACAGTTGTTTTTCAAGAGTTCGGTCATTAGTGATCAGCCTAAGAGTTTTCCTTTGAATATAAGTCACCAAAAGGGAAACAATAACATAAAAAGATACCACGATCTAGATTGTAGACCCCCCGGCCACCAATCCCTCAACAAAATGATGCAAATTTTTTTGGAATCGCACCGTTTCTATGCTCTTTTCAGTTTTTATTGATTCATATTTAGTAATGGCAACTTAAGAGCTTTTAATATTGCAAGCATCAGTATCTCTTTGGCATTGTTAGGGCTGCATTGCCTTTAATGTATTTCGGACAGCAGATATTTTCAAAATAAGGATGTATCACAAAGTATGTTAGACTGAAGATCATTCATGAGAGAGATTACACTTTAAATTAAATATAAGAGAAGAAAGATAGGAACTCAAACCCGGACCACCTTACAAGGGCATTAACAAAAACATTGAGATAAAAACTGGCTCGAAAGGATGAAGAAAGTATCAAATAATAACTTCTAGGTATTCTTGTATATGAAGAAAACTTAAACAAATTGTTGATCGATTTGAATTTAAAAGATATAAGTTTATTCAAAATTAGACTAAGTCCTATATTTCGAAAAGTTAAATTATATAATCGTAAAACCGATGCTCTGGAAATGTTCAAAAGCAGACAACAGCCCCATCAGCAAAAAGTTAGTTTAAACTTACCATAATTCTAGATCAACCATAAAACTAGTAGTTCTCCTTGATATCGGATAGGAGATCGAGTTTAGTTGGAACCCATCCCAAGAGACTTCGAGTTTTCTCACTCGAGATGTCAGAATTTATCTGAATTATGGTACCAATGAACCCCAATTTTTCGACCGCCTGAGCTGAGCTGATGGAGTCGACAGGAATATTTGTAGCTTCTGCAATTGCCATTGCAATTTTCTTCGCTGGAACCAGTTCCGCTACAGCATGAAGGATGGACCCCGCAGGTGCCTTTTCTACAGCTAACCTGTAAAGCACTGCAGCATTGTCACGATGTACTGCTGACCACACATTTTCGCCATCCTCCACATAATAAGACACGTGGTTCTTCTTTGCATTTTCCATTAAAAGACCTATGAAAGCACGGTCACCCTTATCATGAACTGAAAGAGCTAACCTTACAGACACAACACGAACCCCCTTACTAGCATAGGACAATGCAAGCTTTTCTGTGTACTTACGAAGTAGAACCATACTATCTTCATATGTAATTGGGGTGGATTCGTCAGCAGTTTCTCCTTTTTTTGTAGGTAATACAAGAAGACCGTTCGTGTAGGCAAAGAATTTATTGGTTCCTTCAAGACTCTCAAGCATAGCCTTTACAGCTCTTTGATCTATTTCTAAAGAATTCTGAAAATTTTCAAAGTCCTGAACGAAGCCAATATGAACTACTCCTTCGGATTCCTTTGAACCTTTTCTTAATACATCAAGATCTTCTAAGTCTCCACGGATGATTTCTGCTCCAACAGCTTTGAGAGCTGCAGCCGACTCGTCCGATCTGGCAAGTCCGAGAATTTGATGTCCATTGGAAATAGCTTCCTTTACAAAAGGTGCCCCGACAAAACCTGTACCACCTGTCACGAAGAGCTTCATTATTACTGACTGAATTAAATGCTTTCTCTGATGCTCAAATTTAGGTTTTCTTCAGTTCTTTTTATAATTGGCAGAATATCTCTTTAGAAAAACTAACATAAGTACCTACGCTGCGAAAAAGCATTTGGTGTAATATATTTGTAAGCAATTTACTAATTTGCTTTTGGGATGAATATCTTTGTAAGCGATTTAGTAATTTAGACGGCGCTAGAATGGTGTATCTTTTGACGACCTAGAAGGGTGACTATTCTTAGAAAACGAAACAAGGGTTTGCGAGTTAATTTCTTAGGTTTTTGTAAACAGAATTGACTTGCAAAATTTTATTACAATGATCAGTGTATACAATCCTAAGATGTACAATTTGTCTTGCTTTAACTGTATCATTGTTTCGATTTTTGCCATTTATTGATCATGATACCATTCTTTTCCGAATATTTTGTTTTTGACATCCCACATTATATAGAGAGATCCTAATTGCGAAATTAACACCTTCATAAATACTTCCCGTATAAGCCCAAGAAAATGGTTCAGTACTGCAATAATAGATACGCTCATTTTGATGACCCAGTTTTGTAGATCATCCATGTAATATGTCTCATCCCTGAAATGCTCTATTAAATTTGCAATAAGTAATATCCTCGCCATAAAGGCTCTCCCCTCCCTTAAACTACAAAGAAAAGAGCAACAAAGCTATACCATAATATTTATCTGCCACAAAAAAAATCTGGACTCATATGACAATTTAACTTCTAAATTGTTGTGTTGAAGTTTCTACAGCTCTTTCCCAATAAATTGATCGTGCTAGTGGCATACAGTATACATCGTTTACGACTATATTTTTCAAGTAAAAAATAGCTAAAAGAAATAAAGTATATACCTTAAACAGCTTTAATAGACTTCATGGTTGTGGCATTATAATGCTTGGGTTCATCTTTATCAATAACGAAAACCATTGCTAAGCATTCCTTAAATATATTTCTTCATGAGTATGCAAGGGCGGAATTCGATCATGTTTGGTTATGAATTCTACAAATATCAGGAAATAAGGATGATAGAGACAAAAGCACTGAAAGATAACATCAGTGCTAAAAAAATACAAGTTTGAAAGTTTTTTTTTATATACATTGCAAGTTTATTGTCTTACAACGATTGAAATCTCCGTTCCACTCGACATTTATCATAAAAAAAGCAGGGTTAGCAATAGTGGTAAATAAGTGATCACTCGTTTAGTTCAAATATAAAGAAATCAAGTGTTTATTATTTTTGTAATTTTGAAATCTTGTATATGTACTCAT